CAGATTTGACAAGAAATTATTTTAGATTTACATTGATTTTAATAGTATATTATTAAACGAGTAAATTATGGTAGTAATTATTCACCCGAGTGAAAAATGGCCATAAATTGAGAGTGTAATACTATACTTTATCCACGACCATTATGATTTCTTTATTAAATAAAAGTGTAGAACTGAAAGTTTTTATTAAACATAGGTAACTAACTGTTGTTGTTTAACAAAGAAATACTTAACTAACAAGATAACAGCATAAATATTTGGGTATTTATCATTAATAGTCAAGGCAAGGATTTAAAATCAAAATTATTAGATGAATTTTGAATATTTTCAAAAACCTGGTTCTACACTGAGTCATCTACCAGAATGTGCCAGAATTACAAAAGCGTTAATTATGATAATTCACTTTAGTGATATATGGGTACCATATGCTCTTAATTAGGAGGTAGAATATTAGTTTATTAGTAAGTAATCGTGGACAAAATTGTTTACTATTCAGATAATATGCTAACGAATGGTGGTAAAAGAACTTGGTTTATTTTATACAGAATGTTTTAAAACATGTATTAAATATGATTAAATTTATGTTCAATTTATTTATTTTTTTTTTTAAATTCAACACCCTATATATTATTTTAACATAAACTTTTTATAAATTTGCCTATTCAACGATACCATGTTTACTAATAACATCTATACAGGGTGTTCCATCAGTGCGTAATTGATCGATAGCTGTTTTATTATTGAAATTACGAAGAAATTTTGAATATAAAAGTTTTATAAACATGTTTTACCATTATTATTTAATATACAGGGTGGTCTATAAAAGAGATGCTGACCAAACCTATACTTTTTGAAGCAAAACACCTGCAGGTATTTTATTATTTTCACATCGTCAAACACTTTGGTCTGGGGAAATAACGCCCAACAACTGTCTGCCTTTAATTATAGTGATGGCCTTTCAATTTTTACCTACAAAGGGCCGACATATAAAGGTCACTAGGGTCCTGCCCGTGGCCAGTCATTTTGCCATCAATATCAGTTATGAGGCAATTAATATTGCAAAGTCACTTTGCTATCATCCAGTTGAAGGGCCTTCAATGGCTGACTATAGGCCCAATATGGGCTATTTTTAATATTTTAGCATTTTATTGGAAAATTAAGGTTTACTTTGATGAAAACGATGTTTGAATAGCTAGACAATTCCATGATGATTATAATTTATTAAATCAATGAAAAATGGGCAATTAAAATAGTTTTCCTTAAATCAGACCCTTATTTTAGCACAAATTTCAAATTCAACTAAAATTGGGTTTTTTTAACAGAACATACACATCTACACGTACATTACTGACAAAATCTTCTAACAACTTTTCCTTAGAAATAAACATTAAATTTTACTCAACTAAATGTTAATTAATTTATATTTTGTCTTCTTTGTTCTCCACTACCTGTGCAATCGCCTGCAGATTTTCCAGTTAAGTGGCACTAATATACACCAGAAAATCATAAAATTTATATGCATACATATTAATGACATTCTGGTAAAACGAATTTGTGCTACTGACACTTTATTATTTTTTTCTTAAATCCAGGAAGGTAAAGCAATATATGTCTTGACAAACTGAATAAAACAGTGCGGTTAAGTAGTAGAATTTTTATTTCCGTTTTTTATTTTTCTTTTTTCCAAAAATTATTCAATCTTGTGTTTTACGTAAGCAAAACTTTTTTAAATAAAAAAGTTCAAAAAATTTGGAGATAATAATTTTTTCGGCCAAAAATACTTTTTTTTAGTACAAATTATTTCAGGTACTAATTTTTTTCGTGTTGATATGTAGTTTTTAAAATAAAACAAAAATATTGACACCTTTAAAAAACATGCTCAAAAAGGGATAAAAACAAAATATGACAGTGGCGACAATAAATTAATCCTTTTGTTGATATAAGTTGTTTCATTAAAATAAAAAACTGATTGCACCATTTAATTGTATGGAAAAATATAAAAGCAACTGATTTTTATTTTTTGTTCAGAATTCCTATTTTTGTATACAAGGACTTTAACTGGAACTAATTCGTTAGTGCCTCAGGTTAAAATATTTGGATAAAACGCAAAACAGGTCGATTGAGTTTTTGTGTGCTTTCCAGTCATATAAACAAAATGATTTTTTTACCCCTTTTAACCTAACCTCACGTAACTTTTTCAAATACTACTTGTGGGCACCTTGCTCTGAAGCTCTTTTAAAAAGAAAATTGACAATCTATTTTTTCTCATTTTAATTTGATAGGCAATTTTTAATAAAAAAATCTTTTATAAAAATAAAAAATAAATAGTCCCTAAAATGTGTCTAAAATTTTTTTTGAGTGCATTATTCTTAAAATTTATGCAACGTTTAACCTACCTAGTTTCATTTCTGGTTATTGTGTGAGGTCGTTCAGCTTTTACATTTATCACATTATTATCAAATTAAAATAAAAAAAAATGTAGTCTGTTTTCTTGTTAAAAGAGCTTTCCAACAAGATGCCACAAGTAATAATTTATTGTTGCTATTCTCATTTTTTATTTCTATTATTTTTTAATGGAAACTATAAGTTTTTATTTTTTAATCAAAAATTTCATGTAAAACCGAAACAATTTAGTACCTGAAAAAAAAAATGTGTTTTTTTGCCTATTTAAGACACACAAAGAAAGCAATAATTTCACCAAATTTCATCAAAATAAAATAATTCTTGGAAAAAGAAAAAAATCGAATGAAGTTTTGCATTTTTGAGGTTATGTTGAAAAGTGATCTCTAGAAAAGTTTTGCATTATACATTTTTGTTTTTAAAGTCACATTTCGCCTAAAATCGCGAATATACAATTTTCCAAATCGAAAAAATCGAAAAAATCGAAAAAATCGAAAAAATCGAAAAAATCGAAAAAATCGAAAAAATTGAAAAAATCGAAAAAATCGAAAAAATAAAAAAAACCGAAAAAATCGAAAAAATCGAAAAAAAAAAGAAAAAATCGAAAAAATCGAAAAAAAAGAAAAAATCGAAAAAGTCGAAAAAATCGAAAAAATCGAAAAAATCGAAAAAATCGAAAAAATCGAAAAAATCGAAAAAATCGAAAAAATCGAAAAAATCGAAAAAATCGAAAAAATCGAAAAAATCGAAAATATCGAAAAAATCGAAAAAATCGAAAAAATCGAAAAAATCGAAAAAATCGAAAAAATCGAAAAAATCGAAAAAATCGAAAAAATCGAAAAAATTGAAAAAATCGAAAAAATCGAAAAAATAAAAAAAACCGAAAAAATCGAAAAAATCGAAAAAAAAAAGAAAAAATCGAAAAAATCGAAAAAAAAGAAAAAATCGAAAAAGTCGAAAAAATCGAAAAAATCGAAAAAATCGAAAAAATCGAAAAAATCGAAAAAATCGAAAAAATCGAAAAAATCGAAAAAATCGAAAAAATCGAAAAAATCGAAAAAATTGAAAAAATCGAAAAAATCGAAAATATCGAAAAAATCGAAAAAATCGAAAAAATCGAAAAAATCGAAAAAATCTAAAAAATCGAAAAAATCGAAAAAATCGAAAAAATCGAAAAAATCGAAAAAAACGAAAAAATCGAAAAAATCGAAAAAATCGAAAAAATCGAAAAATTGAAAAATCAAAAAAGAAATTCTGTAATGAAAATAAACCTAACACCCCTCACTCCGACCGGCACAGCGGTGCGGCGTTGAAAGCCATGCATCGTCTAACGTCGTTTCAGTTCGGCCGACTTCAGCACGGTGTTTGTGTGCCTGCGACTACACGTATGCGTAGACTAGCTGCTAACTGCTCATAACTGATTCTCTCTTTTAGACACAATTTCGAAAACATTGAATTTGAAAATGAATAATGATCCACAAGAATCCACAACAAAATATGGGACCACCATTGATGCGGTATTTTTCAGATATTTAGAGGATATCAAGTCTCAAACTTACGTTTCTTATTTCAATTACCATAAACCTATAGTTTCAATGGTAAAAAATCCTGAATAACCTACATGTATTGTAAGATAATAAAAATATTTTAAACAATATTACCTTCTCATTTATTCCATATAAAAAAATGTTTTCTTATCGGTCACTAAAGTCTAACTTGAATTAATATCAAAGAAAAAATTTGAATTAATATCAAAGAAAAAAAAATACTGCATAAATAAAATAAATAAATAATTATAATTGCATAAGTTGATAAAAAATGCTATATGCAATAGCTTTACCGCGGCAGTTCCCGAGTGCCACACGTATTTTTTTTATATTTATTATAAGGCCCTCTTTCATTTACGCTTATCAACGTCCTGTTGATATTTTTTCTCATAGTTTAATTTGATTAAACTATTATAGAAAATTACAAGTAAATTTTTATTACCTAGTGTAAATAATTAAATTCAAATACAGTTACTAAACTCAACAGAAAATGAAATTTTTGAGAAATTAATGATAGAGTATGCATACATAAGTTTTCTGCAAATAACAACAGTTAAAAACGTACGTGGCTTTGCATTCGACAGGTCGCAAAATATTCGAAGATGGATTAGTATAGATTGTTAATTCGAAATAAATATACGTATTTTTTTAAAACTATTAAACGAAAATTTTAGAAAAATTAAAATTTCTAAAAGATTATGTTATGTTACTGTTTAATAACATGACTGATATCAAAAAATTTTCAGTTTAATCGCTTCTTGGGTACCCTGAAGAAAAAAAAATTTCGAAAATCGATGTGGTTGTCATGGCAATATGTCAAAATAAGAGCCTTCAATTGGTCAAAAATTTTTGATGTGAAATTTTTGCTAAATATGTTACTTTACTATTTTTAAATAATTATTAGGTGCGTTTGTTAAAACTAATATCATTCAAATCAAAATGAAAAAATATTCCAAATATATGTATCTTTTCCAATTTTAAATAAATAATATAAATATTAATATGTAATTCACATAATTAGAAATGTATATTATATGTTTACCGGAAATAGGGTATATATAAAAAGCCACATTTTTCTCTTGGCATAATCGTCAGTTTATAAGCCATATTAACAACCAATAGAAATAGGTTAAACAATATGAAGACAATTTTAATTACACTTTTCCTTTTTACTATTTTCGTTAGTACAATTAGTGTTCCAGTAAGCGAAATTCTAGGTGATATTTCCATAGATGTAAATAATCAAATTGGTAAGTCAATATTTATTACTGTATAACTTTATTTAAAAGTTGATAATTTTTTCTTTGGACGGATGGTTAGCAAAAAGAATTTATATTTAAAAAGTTTTATAAAATGTTAGTTTTAATTTTCTTGGCTTTAAGTTTTAAAGTTAAGTTGACAATTTTAAGGGTCTGTAGTATATCTCACTTATTTCGGGGTTACCGCAAAAATTGCATTTGAATTAATAAAAAATAATTCCAACTATAAATGTGACCAAGATATAAATAAAGAGAAGAACTTGTCAGGAAGAAGTTCGAGTGAAAGTCAACTGACCGCTTCCTCATAAAAAACAACTACTTCTGTATACCTTAACTTATCAGCGGGAAAATCATTTTCAACATTCTAGATTTGATTTTGCTTACTAGAACGTTATTCCTGTACCGGTTTCGTACTTATAAGGAATTTTCAGCAACAATAATCTGTAGTATACAAGTTAATTTTACCTCTCTATAGCTTTTAGTAGATGAGTAGTTGTTTCCAGAGGGTACGATTACACGGCGATTTTTGTAACACATTCTCTGAGTTTTTCTCTTTATTTAAATAAGTTTTTAATAAACTAAATTATTTAAATTTAAGATTCAACTTTTACGTTACCGTGTCTCAATACTTTTAGAAGCAATAATAACGAATAATAAACACCTCATCTATCACTAATAAAAAGATAAAGTGAATATATTAAGTGTTTAAGTTAGTTATGCAATGTATTGCAAAATTATATTTCATTAAACATTTTCTCATCATAATAATGTGCTAAACGTGACATAGCTAGTAATCCTTTGGGTATTTTTGGCTTTGGTAAAGTACAACAATTAGTATAGCCAAACGTTTAGCAAAATAGGTTTTTTTAACAGTTTGTAATTAGTTTCAATTCCAAATTAAAAAAAAAAAAAGGGAAATTATCCACAGTTTAGATAAATTTTAAGGAGATACAAACTTTTTACAGGGTACATTTAAAATGCTTCAAAAATACAATGTTGGCTAATCTCAGACAAAAATATACCAAATATTATAATTAAATATATTGCAGGAACAAAATAACATACTGGCAATTTTTTGAAACCAATTCAAATATTTCTTTTATCATCTATTTTTTAGAACATCACAGAGTTAAACGGTTAACTTGTGATATACTGAGCGTTGAAGGCAAAGGATTCAAACTGAACGATGCTGCTTGTGCAGCAGGATGTCTATTAAAGCTTAAACGTGGAGGATGGTGCGACGAAAGAAGAGTATGCAATTGCAGATAGACGTTCCAAAGAAGCCATAAATAATTATATACCAATTTATAAAAACAAATGTATACTTTGATTTGCATTATACTTCCAAAAAAATATCTTTAAATATATAATATAATACAACATATTTTTTTATTATTCGATTCCTTTGTGTTATTTATGAGCATCATTGAAACATTAAATTTTTACTACGAGTGATGCTATAAGATACGTTATTTAGAATTTTCAACAATACCCGTATCCCACGTGACCTATTGACATTCAAAACATTTGGTGCAAAATAAAGTAAAAATCTGTAGATGTGGGTCTGTAGATTACTGAGACCGGCCGAGTGGGGGCCTCACAAGGCCGTATTTAGGGTGGTTAGAACCCTTCCCGAAATTATTTATCAAATAATAAAGTTTAGGAAATCCGACTGCAAAGTAAAAAACTCAATAAAATTAAACTTGAAATTATTTAAAAAAAAATTAAAAGTAAAGAGATATTTCAAATTAAATCCTAAATTAAAAAATCCAAAAAAATCCGCAAAAAAATTAAAATCCAAAAAAAAAACCGCTAGAGTAAAAAAACAGAAATTCGGATAAAATCCGGGTAATAGAAACACTGAATTGAATTATAAATATACCTACTGCAAGCGGTTTTATAAAAATGTCCTTAAATAAATATAGAGTATATTATTAGACAAATTTTGATTCTTAAATAAAAGGTCCTATCCACTTTTTCAATGGCTAAAATCCGACGACGTAATGAAATTTCGCTATTTCTGGCAACACTGAACGATATTCTACTTGTAGCCACCGTACCGTAGGCAGCGTACCGTAGATAAATTTTCACATAGTGCAAGGCGATTTTGGTACTTTTTTTTTAATTACTTATTCGATATGCCATCAATTTTTTAGTTTATGTTATTTTTTTCATATGTGGCTATATTATTTACGTGTTTTCTTTATTTTGGTAAATAATTTGTAACTGTTTATGTTGTTCCCCTTACTCTGAATTTTAGCTTCTTTTGTAGTTTAATACATTAGCTATTTATTTTTTAAATATTTTTTATTTTGAAGGAACGGCGATTGGGAAAGCAACATTGCGATTAGCAGTTTTTTTTACATTATTTTCTATATTTTTTGTGTTATTTATATTTTTTAATTATATGACGATAATAACAATTAGCAGTGGCGGATTTAGAGGAGGACCAGAGGGGCCCACTCGGACCTCTATCAAATCTCATATTTCGTATGTTTTCTCTTTACGGTTGATTCACATTTATCTGCTTCTTATATAAGTATTGTACGAGTCCCCCCTCCCCAAAAAACATGTCTAGATACGCTACTGACAATTAGTACTTCTAATGTCACATAATTTTGCGGGGGACCCCAAATGTTTACCGCCACCACTGCTTCGTGACGACGAAACCATTTTATTACCCTCACTTTTTAACAATTTTCTCTACGTTTACTATTATTTTAAGGACGAAATTGTAAAAAAAATTGTCTGGTCATTTATACGTATATGTAACGGCACGATAACTCTAGAACGAAAGTCCTGATCGATTTGCGGTTTTAAAATGATTTTCAGATTTTTTTAACCTATATTCGCTAAATATCTAAGATTTTAAAATGCATTGCATTTCTTATGGATCTTAATTTGATTACTCCAACATATTGTTATGTGAGCCATTTCATTATTCAGTCATGCTCTAACCCTACAAGTCCCTCTCTGTCTTATTTGGCCTTTGAGGCTCAACTTGTCCGAATATTATACATAATTAAATCCCTTAAGACCAAACCTATGTGACGACTATGGTGGAGACACTTTCGCGAACATTCCAGAGTCAACGAGATACTATTTATAGTCTAAATATAACGTGATAACGTTTTTGGTACATTCTGGTAATTTTGGTGGGGGAGCATTCTAGACCACCAACTTGTATATAAATATTGGTGGAGGACCAACATAAGTTAGTTGTTATATGGACAGTGAAGATAAATAGTAATCAGTAGATAGACAGAGGTGAATATAAATAGTGAACGATTCAAAGACATTCGAAATATATATAAATTAAAATAGTAGTGTTATAAAATAAATATGTGTTTAAATAAATTATTAATAAATAAACTGTTGTTTTAATGTAAACAAACATAACAATATGAATGGTTATGCCTGTCAACTGTGAAACCACTGATATTGTTTTCTAAGTTGCTGCCATTCTTAAATGTCAAATTATTTTTAAAATATTTTAACATCCATTCAAAAATTCTGTTTTTGTAGATATTTATTGTAAATGAAAGTGAATAACTAAAAAATCGGGAGTCCAGAGCGAAAAACCGATGAGTAAGAAAGTTTAGCTATAATATTGGCGTTTAAAGATTTTTTTATTTTTTTTTCACCCTTTCCTTATTACAAAAACTTTTAATAATTTAGAGGAAACATTATGACGAATGAACGAATTGATTTTAGTGTCTTCCAAAATGATGTTTGATTTAGCTAAATATAAATTAAGACGATAAAGCATAGAATAGTTCTTACAAAACCGTCGTAGCAATGTTAAGATCCCTACGTGATTAAGCTTTAGTAACACTAACGCTTCACAATCTTAAAAATTGAAGTCCTGATACTTCTTATTGTCTTTCGAATAAACAAAAGAGAAGGGTTACCGGCATACAATTATGGGATATGAGGAGGAGCATGGCATGCTTTTTCTGGGAATGAGGAGCACTGGCATGCTTTTTCAAAAATGAAAAAACCATCTGGTGTGGTAATGATAACGATATTCTGATGCCATATTTTTAGCATACATATCTGGCCTACAATTATATACCTCTGGGAATGATAACGATATGCTAAATAAATAGTATTACCTACACCCGTGAGATAAGAACTTCTTATTCCACTTAAGGTCACAAAAGTATAACAAATTATTTGCAAGTATTTAACGTTAAATACCAGTTCAGATATTGTTTTATTTACCCAGCATATTAAAACTTATACTAACTTACCGTAACGTAATTCTGATAACTGATAACTTTAAAAACAATATTTATTTTAACAAAGCACGTTTCTGAAAATTATTGCATTTTGGTGGATACCCATAGAGGAATTAATGTGTCTGATGAATGTTCTGAATATAGATCCTAGATGTCACTACCTTTACTAGTTTACAAATAATAACGAAGTCTTATTTTAGAATGCTCTCCCGTATTCGGTTACTCTCCCCTATATGAAACTAAAATTACGCAGTAGGCGATGTATCTGTCAACGAATATATTAAACTTAACAGAAGTCTATTATTTATAAAATGTCTTACATTGATAGAGTCCTTCTTATTTGATTTGATGTGCCATAAGAATAAAATGAATTCCTTGAATTTTACTTAAAGGAAACTTTAACATAAATGAGGACCGTTTTTTCAAAACTCAACAAAAACAAAATGGACCGAAAATGAGTTACGCATGTAGATATATATTTTCAGAGGTGCTCTATCGATTGGTGCACTCAGAATACAGCAAAACGCAACAAGATGCATGTTACAATCATTTGAAGAATTAAAGATTTTGCAAAACTCAACATGATCATGTAGGTTTTGCGAAACTCAACAAGATAAGACCTGCATTTCTGCACACATTTAAGTACATAGTTTCATAGCCTATTTTCCTAGTTGTATGACAAGTCTTTCGTGTGTACTCCCGGTGGGCGAAAGCATCGTAATAGTGGGAGAAAAAAGAAGAAAGAAACTAGATATTTTCTTGGACAGAATCAGCCACTTATAATGAAATGTCCACATACATCGCTGGATTATAAAGGGAAAAAGGAATGTTTGGGCAAATCTCTAATCACTGGAGATGCAGAAAGTATGTATTTTGAATGTTTGCTCGATAGTGTTTCAGTCTATTGCTTACTTTTTAGCTTTCCGTCATCATTTCTTTTCACAAAGTAACAAAATTGATCAAGATCGCTTCCTGTTGAAATATATGAATGTTTCTATTTCTGCTCTTCGGAAAAGGGAAAGAAATCATCTTAAATCAAAGTCAGTAGTTACGAAGTATACCCTACGAAAACAAAATGGTGATATACTCCCAGTGTGCGTAATGTTTTTTACGAATATCACAGGTAAAAACCTAATTTGTTGCTGTTACAGTAATTTTTAGAACGAAATTTGTTTTAGGCGTTTCACGTTTCGGCAACCCCCACTCGGATACCTGTTCAACGTGTAAAAAATGTCACATATCCATTAGACAAACTAAAGACCTTGACCAGAAGGGAGTTCTCAGAGCACAGTTAAAACTACACAAACTAAGGGCAAAAAAATTCTATCAGCTTTTGAAGGAAGAAAGCGAGAACACTATTAAAATCGTTTTTGACATGCAGCAGAACCAACCGCTGCCTAAGCTTTCTGTGGAAGAAGTGTTTTTTCTCGCCAAGTATGGCTCTCAAATCTCACCATAATGATCCATAAATCCAAACAGGAAAAAAGATATATTTCTCATTATGTGTGGCTCGAAACTGAAAGTGGGAGAGGAGCTAATGAAGTCGCTAGCTGCGTACAACACTTTTTGAAAAGGGTGGAGGAAAAATTTGAAGATGTACTAGGTTTTAAACCAAATGAAAAACAGAACTTGTTGCTGTTTTCAGACTCTTGTGCAAGTCAAAATAAAAACACAATCTTAATGGGAACACTGATGAATTTTCTCGAACATTCCACTATTTTTTCAAGCATCAACACGTTTTTCCTATTAGAGGGCAAAGTTACATGCCGGCGGATCCTGTATTTGGCCGAATCGAAAAAGAATATAGAAAACTGGAAGATATGGTATCGCCTAAAGATTATTATGACGTATTGGAAAACACTGGTAATCTTTTTCGTTATGGCCAAGATTGGACTGTGAAAAACATAAAAGACGAAACAAAGAAAATATTTAAAACGAAGTTACCATTTAAAATCTCTGAAACAAAGATTATCAAATACCAACGCAAAAAAGAAAAAGTGAAAATTTTTGTTTCAACCACCTACAGTGGAGGATTGATAAAATGTACTGTTCTGAAAAACAACATTAAAAATGCACTATTGGTCGACAAAGCAAAAGTATTGCCAAAGTGTAATATGGTAAATATAAAAAAAAGGGACAATGTTAAATCAC